GCAGTTATTTCATTCTGAATGCCCCCCTAAACATAAAGAAAACATATATACATAGACCACCCGACAAAAGACATCCATTAGGTGGGAAGCAGAAAGAAAGAAATTATTCAATCTTATGCGGACAAATATTGAATACAATTTTTAAAACATAGGCAGCGAAGGAATTATAAAACAGCATTATCTATATTCATAGAGGTTTAAGGTTTGATAGAAGCCTGCTCTGCAGATAAGTCTACTTGCTAAGTTTAAAGTGCCTAGCTGTTATGGTTTAAGAGATCTCGCTGCTCATACAGACAGACGAACGAACAGACAAACAGTCAGTACTTTTGTTAGGCTGATTACACATGTGTATATGTATGCACCGACCTGTAAAATCGAACATCATACTATATGGTGTAGAAAACAACTATTCAATAGGAAAGGAGCAAATTGTTTAGCTCATCTTTCGCATTTCAAGTGCCACCAGAAGTTCGAGAAACAAATGGAAACATATGTAAGCGAATTCGTTCTCTTTGGTTGGGTGTACCTGCACACACACACACACACACATACATTTATATATGCAAGCATGTATGCTTAGATAAAACAACAAAGCGCGCATTTGGCAGACAGACGCACACGTTGCGTATGATGAATGTTTTTAGATGGTTTTGTGTTCTTATTACTATTGTTGTTGCCGTTGTTTGGTTGAACTACCTTTGCCTGCCGCACACGTGTGGTGTGCACACTTAGGCGCCAACGAACTCAATGGCTGCTCATTCACTGCCACGCCCAGCACCCATGCCCCTGCCACACACAAAGGGCGTTTGTTGAAGCAGCCACCTAAATGAACAAAAACAGCACTTCAAGCTTTAACGGCAACGATATCGGATTGAAGCCCTTCTATTCGTTTGCGGGGTTCATGCGTTGCATTTAAAAAAATTGAAAAAATTAAATTACATAAATATTTTGAAAAATAAACTGAAGAATAGAATTTCAAAATGGATCGAATGGTATCGAAATGAACTATCAGAAAATCCATTTTAATTGTATTGAATTCATCGATTTATTCCGCCTACGACAGACATTCGTCAAAAGGTTTAAGCATTTCAGTGCGTTTTGGAATTGCAAAAAGCATACAAGTTTTATTTATTTGCTTTTGTTTGAGAAACTTAGATACATTTATACTTATATTGAATTGATTGTTGAACATGATTCTAGAGAGCTTTTGGTAATGAGAATATAAACCATATACCTATCCTTTTCAGTTTAAATGCTCAGTGGCATCGCAAAATGGGGAACTGTTTTTCAAATTTCATTTCCAGCTTCAAGCTAAATATTTGCACCTACTTGTATATTTAATTCTTTTGAGCCAATCGAATGCAATCAGTAAACCACAATTTTACGGACTGCAGTAAGTGTCTAAGCAACTGTTCCACAGAATCTTGATTTGTGGAAATGCAATGCATAAACGTGAGAAGTTTCAATGATTTTCTCTATCTATCTATCGTTCGCTTTGCATGCGAAATGAGCTGTTGAAATGGCAATTTAAGTGACTGCTGTTCTTCTTGTTAGATGGTTTCCTTTTGCTTTCGGCTCCTTGCTTTTTTCTACAGCCAGCAGGGATAAAAGCAGCAAACAAATGGCAAAACGCACACTTGAAATTTGTGAGGAGCGCACAAAGTAATGCCAAAGGGCAACAAATACAAAATGCGTGTAAATAATTTGCAGTGCTCTAGTATCTAGTTATGTATCTGCTTGTTCATTGTGCGCGTATCTCATAGTTTACAGTCTGACGCCTTTTTTGGTGTGTGTGTGTGTGTGTGTATCTGTCTGTTTGAGGGCTAAGCAGAAAGTAAACCAAGCGCACAAGATGCAGACAAGGCGCTGGCATTCATGTAGAAAGGCAGCTTTTCATTCATGATGGATGCATTCGGTTCCGTCCGTCCGTTCGTTCGTCCAAAGGCGCAGCACAAAACCCAGACAAGGTAAGAAATTAATGCATCAAAGCGCTTGTTGTTGGCGATCCGAGGCGACGACATCGCTCAACTGGAAGACAGTGACAACAACAGCATAAAAAAAAAATAAAATAAAACCAACTACAGGAAGGAAGTAGAGTGTTGAAGCGTAAGTAAAGCGTTTGCCGCTTTTTGTGGCTCGTGGCAACAAAGTCATTAAAAACGCATAACACACAAAAGTGCACAAGAAATTATGTAAATAAATATTTATGAAAGAAAGAAAAAATTCAAAAGGCATTGACCAAATGATTAATTGACGTTTTTACTAAGCAAGCCAACCACCCCAAAAGAGCAATTGGCCCAAAACGAACAAAACTCCCCGCTGTCTGCAATTTCATCAAAAAGTCATCATTTAAATTAATGATCAATGCAAAAAATGTTGCATGGCTACAAATATTTTTTAATTGATAAAATCATTAACATTTTTGTTTGCTTTTTTTTAGACAAAATGCCAAAAAAAAAAGTTGTCTTAATGAATGGAAGTGAAAACATTTTGAGGAAATGGGTGTATTTGTGTATTTGCGTCTAGTTCTGGAATTATAGAGTTTCACCTAAAAATGGGTGTATCTAATGGGTGCATCAGCATCACAAAACCTGTATGTGTGCAAGCAAAAAACTTGTTAAGTATAAGAGTGAGAATCAACCCAAATAGATATGAAATAATATATGTGTTCTTTTGTCGATAAAGACGCCAGTTCCTACAATTTTCTTGTCATATGGAAGCTAACTAACCTATCTTTATATATTATGTAACTACAATCTAATAATTACTAGACAAAAATAAATTTAAAAAAAAAAATGAATATATATTAAAATTTATTCTGTAAATTCCATTATTTTCTTGGCAACTTTTTGAATCTGAAGAAATTGTTGGTATATACTTTTAATAATTTAAAGATTTTTTTAAATTCTGCATCTGTAATTGCTCTCGATAATGATATCGGCAATTCATTTTGCAGAGAAACAAGAGCTCGTTGGTTAATACTCCAACAAAGATGTAATTATTAAGGACTGCAATATAATGTTTAAATAAAAATACATCTATTCAAAGTTATCTTGAAAAATACATAAAAAAAAAATCATTACAAATTTTTATTTAAATTCTCTTCTTCGTGGTTTTAAAGTAAGATCATCGCTCAGTTAGAATTTTTATAACTCATCCATTTTAAATGCTGCTTTCAGTTAAAACCACCAATGTTGAAACAAATAAGTTGTTAGGTCGATATATCGAAATAAACTCCACTGCAGGGTATCAACATAACTTCAATTCTTGCATACACAAAAATATATTGAATAAACTCAACCAAATTTTTAAAATGTTCATTAATTTAACACTCGGACAACAACAACGACAGAATAAGGTGAAAAAAAAAAAACAAAATACAATGTGGGTTGGTAATTGTTTTATTTAATTTTTTCCGCCATGCTCCTCTTCATTCATTTTTGTTGGTGTGTGAAAAGTGTGCTTTTTATTTATTGTTTTTAAGCACAAACCGCAAATGACAAACTTGTGATATCATTTTTCAAAACGCATTCAATTCAATTCATTTATCATTTTCCTGTGCTAGTGTGTGTGCGTGTGTTAAGGTTGTTTAAAATTTAGGCAGACTGACTGCACAGTGCACTTTCAAAGGCAAAAAATAAATAAAAGGGAAGATGCAATCCCTCAAAACTCTCACTTTCCTTTAGCCTTGCGCGTTGCAATTAAATGCCCCATCATTGTCGTTGATTTTAATTTTTATAACAGACAGCTTGCTCGTTAATGCAAAACGCGCATTTTTCATTAAACAAAATTAAAATGCAGACGACTAAGTTGATGGTCGCAGCAGGCACGAAGAAAAACACTCGCACAAACCAAACATTGAAAAATGAAAAGCCAACTGCAAAAAAGGAGAAAATATAAAAATGTAGCCGTTGTAATAACAGCAACAAAAAAAAAAAAAAAAAGAACTGACATTAATCATTACAAGTGAGGCAAGCTGGCTGGGGAGCGACAGACAGGAGGGGATTGCAATGGATGCTGGAAATTGTCGCGTGCAAAGTTTTTTGTTGCACAAAAGTTTGCTGCGCTGATGAAGCAGAGAGACAAACAGATAGACGGGCAGACGGACGGACGGATGGACGGACAGACAAACAAACACTCAGATAATGAAGCATATGTCAGTCGTCGTTGCTAAGTTGTCATAAAACGAAGAGCTGCCAGACATAAGACACTAATAAAAGCAACAACACTAACTGCTTGCCTGGCAGCTACTTCTTTTTTAAGCGCCTCATTTAACTCTCACGCATGAACATAGGAGGTGGATTGAGGGTCAAGGATACTCAGCAAATGCAACATGTGACATTAAGCCGCTGTTAATGACCACAATGTTTATCATTAGCTGACGGCATTGACAAACAAAAAAGAAGTTTAGGAAGCGAAAGAAAAGTATACTAGCGGATTGGCTTCGTCTGATAAAATGCTGGAATAGCTAGAAAGGTTAAATAAATATACACAAAAGCTTTACAAATCTAACAGTTGAAAAAGCGTTAATTCAACAAATTTTAATGCATTATTACATTCAAAAATTTGTTCAGCTATAAGTGATTTTTTGCACCTAAAGCAACCATATACAAAATTTGAAGATAAGTCTACACACAAAATTTGGGCTTTCTAGCTGTTGCAGATAAAAAGTTCTCGATGTTCATACAGACGGACGAACAAACAGACGGACGAACATGTGTAAAACGATACACATCTCTATAAAAAAATACCATGAGTTATTAAGGCTCTTTGACATTTTACAAAATGCTAAAGGTCAGAATTTTACAAGCACTGTTCTCGGCTGTCGTTGGTTGTATAAGCAGTAAAACGAATGGATTTGTTCTGATCTTGCAACTATTTTAAAGCTGCATTAGGTGAATAGCCTTGTCCGATCAAATTATCACAATTTTTATCAAATTTGTGCTTGTTGTGTAACCCCATCGTCTCACTACACAACATTCTTTAAAGAGCTGTGAGAATATGAAGCTACTTTTGGTAGGTCAAAATAATCGATTAAAACTATTGGTATTTATAACAAAATGTGATTCTTTAAGTGTGGTTTAGTCGCTGCATTTCTGCTCATTTTCAGCGGGCAGAATTCAGTTCAAGGTGGAATAGGACCTAGGCCTCCACCATGGATAGCACCACCACCTCCAGTACATCATGGCCGACCTCTACCCAGACCTCCACCCCCACCAAGATATTATGGTCGACCCCCATTGAGATATTATAGTCCACCACATCTTGTGCATTATGGTCCACCTCCACCAGCATATATGTATTATGCCCCACGACCTGCATGGGTGTATTATTATAAGTCCTAGACAACTTTCTTGTAGTATTTACATACAAATAAATACCGCTGAAATATAAAATTTCAAAGGTTTCAAACATTTTAAGGGCTTAAAAACGTTCATCAGCGATTGCACTGATGCAGAAATGCTTCAGAAGGTAAGAAAAGCAATACCCTAAAGAAAATGAATGACCTTCAACCTTTTCCAAATTGTTAGGGTTTATAATTTATATTGTCGTGTGATTATTCGATTAGTTGGATAACCCGATTTTTTACGATTACGAAACTGTGTTGTAATAAAGAACCTTATCCGATTAAATTGTTACCGCTATTATCAACGCATTGTATTCTCTCTATATAAGGCCAATCGAATACGAAAGTCCAGCATTCCTCTAGAACCTCCAAGAAGATGAAGTCGCTTTTGGTAAATAGGAGAAGAAAAAAAAAAACAGAAAATACCGATAATAATATTTAATCCTTTCATTCCTAAAGTGTGGTATAGTGGCCACAGTGCTGCTTTTCGGCGACTTAAGTGTGGTGCAAGGTGTATTGATCGCGCCGGCGCCTCCTCCACCTGGAGAATATGGCCCACCACCACCAGCACCGCCTCCACCAGGATATTATGCCCCACCACCACCTGGACCCCCACCACCAGGCTATTGGGGCCCACCACCACCAGCACCGCCTCCACCTGGCTATTGGGCCCCTCCCCCACCAGCACCGCCACCACCAGGATATTATGTACCCCCATTTTCATATTATCCGTATTAGTAAGCTTTGTTGTACTGTGCGATAATAACGCACGATCACACAAATAAATGCCGTCAAGGTCGTCTATTTCAAAGAATGTTGCAGTGTGTGTGGGCTTAAACAATTTCCGAAAGAAGAGACATCCAAACTCTGAAAATGTATAAGAGCTAAAATTCCCAAACATTCATAACATAAGCTCTTAAGCCAGACCGAAGATAACTTCTTTTTTTTACCCTGTACCCGAAAGGTAATATACCGTCTCTATTATTTGTGCAAAGGGAGAATAAAGTATCTCCATATTCTCAGTCAACGTGACAAGACGAATCGATGTAGCCATGTCTGTCTGTTTGGCTGAGTCCTTGGCATTCGTAAACGGCCAACCAAATATCTAGACAGCATAGACAAAACCAATACATCTTTATGCAATTGAAAACGCTGATCACAAGATGCATGTATGTACGTGTGCCTTACATACTTGTATATTTCTTACATCATAACTACGAAATTATCTAGTGCGTATAGATGTTTCAAAAGTGGTTTCCGCATTTCATTCTCGTTTTGAAATGTTAAAGGTTAGAATTATGCAAGACCTTTCAAGAATATAATGCTGTGAGTATTAAAACGAACCGATTTGTTACAATCATAATAAAACTGATATGAGCTTGAGTGTGTTTAATGACCTTTTCTGATGAAATTAACGCAGTTATTAGGCATGCCTTGGTTTGCTTTTTTCCGTTAAAAGACCAATTCTACACAAAGGCTCCATATTCTTCTAGGAACTTCGCAAACATGAAGTTTCTTATTGTAAGTAGAGTTCTTTTGTTAAAAAAAAAGTAATACTTATATTACTTGTATTTATCCTTATAGGGTGGAATATTAGCATCAGCTTTGCTCCTTTTGGGCGAGCAGAATTTGGTGCAAGGACAATATGCTCCACCACCAGGATTATTCGCTCCGCCACCAGGACCAGCACTCCCGCCACCACCAGATTACGCCCCACCCCCACCAGGCTATTGGGCCCCACCACCTCCAGCACCGCCTCCACCAGGATATTATGCCCCACCACCACCTGGACCGCCTCCACCAGGATATTATGCCCCACCACCACCTGGACCGCCTCCACCACTATATTATACCCCCCAATGGTATCATTGAGCTTTGTTGTACTGTGCGATAATCACGTACGATCACCCAAATAAATATCGTAAAGATCGTGTATTTAAGAAAATGGTTTACAGGCATTGGTGGCAGATGGGCTTCAGCAAAAATTTACATTGATAGAAGGATAGAAGGCACCAGGGAACCAGGATACCAAATTTAGTAATGATGTCATCTCTAAATACATATAATAACATACTTCAGTTTTAAATTGCATCCAACTCGGTCAATTCTAAGAAAAACTATTAGCGAAATAATTTCACTCCAGTACTATGCCCACAAACTGCAGCATCAAGTTCGCTCTTCTTCTTCTTTTGCTTCTGCTAGAGGCGCATATACCTCAGTATCGGAAGTTTGTCTGGGTACAGGATGTTTTTATAATATCGAGCTGGGTCAACCGTAGTGTCCTCTTCTGTTAAATTTAATAGTTGGGAATGTAGAACATTATGCCAAAAAAAATATTTAAGAGAAATATTTGTATATAATTATACTTGTACAAGCATTCTAATATAGTACACTTATAAAAATAGAACGTTTTATTACGACTGTATAACATATTCAGTTATTAAGCCCTTAAATGGTAAAACTTAAGGAAAACTATAACCGCCATGGTCTACATTATTTAACCTAGCTTATAGCCTTTAGGTCATTCATGTATTTCTTGCATAAGAGATAAGAAATTTTCCAGTAAGTACAGAGGTTTTAATAGTGGGTTCCGCATTTCATTCTTGTTTCTAAATGTTAAAGGTCAGAACTATACATGAAGTCCTTTCAAGAATACAATGATGTATTTATTAAAACAAACCGATTTGTTACAATCGTCATATAACTGATTTTCACTTGATTTGTTTAATAACCTTTTCTGATGAAATTAACGCAGTTATTAGGCATGCTTTGCTTTTTGCCTTTAAAAGACCAACTATACACAAAGGCTCCATATTCTTCTAGGAACTTCGCAAACATGAAGTTTCTTATTGTAAGTAGAGTTCTTTTTTAAAAAAATAAAGTAAACCTTATATTACTTATATTTATCCTTATAGTGTGGAATATTAGCATCAGCTTTGCTCCTTTTGGGCGAGCAGAATTTGGTGCAAGGACAATATGCTCCACCACCAGGATTATTCGCTCCGCCACCAGGAGCAGGGCCGGGACCAGGACCAGCCCTCCCACCACCTCCAGGAGATTACGGTCCTCCCCCACCAGGATATTATGCTCCACCACCTCCAGGATATTATGCACCACCCCCACCAGCACCACCTCCACCAGGCTACTGGGCCCCACCACCGCCAGCACCGCCTCCACCAGGATATTATGCCCCACCTCCACCTGCACCGCCTCCACCAGGATATTATGCCCCACCTCCACCTGCACCGCCTCCACCAGGATATTATGCCCCACCTCCACCTGCACCGCCTCCACCAGGATATTATGTGCCCCCATATTTATCTTAGTCGTCTTAGTAAGCTTTGTTGTACTGTGCCATAATCACTTACGATTGCACAAATAAATACCGTCAAGGTCGAGTATTTCAAAGACTGTTTTATAAGAATTTATGGTATGAGGGCGTAAAGCTTACATTGGTTGAAGGATAGGAGACGATCTCAAGCTTATACCAATATAGTGGTAAGAAGAAAGCATAGCAAAAATAAAGTATTTAATCGTGACGAGTCGTAATAGCCATGTCCGTTCCTCTATCTGTCTTTGTATGAAGACAAAGAAATCATAACGTATAAGTTCGAAAAATGAAATCACAGATTAAAACGCAGAGCGCATTAGGTTTGTACCAATTGGTGGTGGACTCTCAGCAACAGCGCAAAAGCATAGACACAAAAGCATAGACACAAGCTCTCATAGAAGATGTATGTATATACGTGGGTTTTATACATAAAATTCTTACATAATAGGTAAGGTTTTTTTAAAAGTGGGTACCGCATTCCATTCTTGTTTCAAAATGTTAAAGATCATAATTATGCAAGTCCTATCAAGAATATAATGATGTAAATATTGTAACGAACCGATTTGTTCCAATCACCATGTAACTGATTTGAACTTGAATTTGTTTAATAACCTTCGCCCATGAAATTATGACAGTAATTAGGCATGCTTTGCTTTTTCCTTTAAAAGACCAATTTCTACGCAAAGGCTCCATATTCTTCTAGGAATTTCGCAAACATGAAGTTTCTTATTGTAAGTAGAGTTCTTTTGTTAAAAAAAGTAAAACCTATACATACTTAGATTTTATTATCATTATAGTGTGGAATTGTAGCGTCAGCTTTGCTCCTTTTGGGCGAGCAGAATTTGGTGCAAGGACAATATGCTCCACCACCTCCAGGATTTTATGCACCACCTCCACCAAGCTATTGGGCCCCGCCACCACCAGCACCGCCTCCACCAAGCTTGTATGCCCCACCACCACCAAGCTATTATGCCCCACCGCCACCAGCACCACCTCCACCAGGATATTATGTACCCCCATTTTTATATTAGCAGTCTTAGTAAGCTATGTTGTACTGTGCGATAATCACTTACGATTGCACAAATAAATGCCGTCAAGGTCGAGTATTTCAAAGATTGTTTTATAAGAATTGATGGTGCAAGGGCTTAAACGATTAGTTCACATTGGTTGAAGGATAGGAGACGATCCCTCTCCGAAAGAAAAGTCATTCAAACCATAAAACGGGTATGCAGGCTCTTGCAAGTTTGAATTTTATATATTTCCTATTTTTAAGAAGAAATCTTTCGATCTACTTGTATATAAAAAATATACAGAATTATATGTGTTTAATCATAATAGAGATACATAACAGATATACAAATCTATATGTATAAGTCTGTATAATCCTATAATGTCATATTGAGAATGAATTGAAATATAGCTGAGTACAAAATTCTTTGAAAAGTAAACGGAATAGTAATAATTTTGCTATACATATTTACAAGAAACTGCGTTTTATTTAATTATACAAGAAATCTCATTATAACTGCATAAAAAATTTAAACTTGAATTCAGTTATTAAGCTTAACCAATTCAATAATCGCCGTTGTAGTGGTAAGAAGAATGCATAGCAAAAACAAAGTATTTAATCGTGTCAACTCGTTATACCCATGCTCGTTCCTCTATCTTTCTGTCTGTATGAACGCAAAGATCTCGTAACGTATAAGTTCCAAAAATGAAACTACAGAATAAGACGAATTAGGTTTGGACCACTTGTGTGTGTGTGGACCCTCAGCAACAACGCAACCCACAAAAGCATAGACACAAATTCTATATGTGATTGAAAACGCCGATCAGAAGATGAATGTATGTATATATGTTACTTGGGTTCTACATATATTTCTTACCTAACAGATAAGTGGTTTTTTAAAAGTGTGTTCCGCATTCCATTCTCGTTTCAAAATGTTAAAGATCATAATTATGCAAGTCCTTTCAAGAATACAATTATGTAAGCATTAAATCGAACCGATTTGTTACAATCATCATATAACTGATTTGAACTTGAATTTGTTTAATAACCTTCTCCGATGAAATTATCTCAGTAATTAGGCATGCTTTGCTTTTTCCTTTAAAAGACCAATTTCTGCGAAAAGGCTCCATATTCTTCTAGGAATTTCGCAAACATGAAGTTTCTTATTGTAAGTAGAGTTCTTTTGAAAAAAAAAAAGCCAACTAATACTTATATTTTAATTTCATTACACTTATAGTGTGGAATTGTAGCGTCAGCTTTGCTCCTTTTGGGCGAGCAGAATTTGGTGCAAGGACAATATGCTCCACCACCTCCAGGATTTTATGCACCACCCCCACCAGCACCACCTCCACCAAGCTATTGGGCCCCGCCACCACCAGCACCGCCTCCACCAAGCTATTATGCCCCACCACCACCAAGCTATTATGCTCCACCACCACCTTCATGGGGCCCAAGCTTTTATTTCTAATGACCAGTTTGTGTTGTAGAGGGTAGTCTTCTACATACAAATAAATACCGCCTACTCTTGTTGGGTGAAGATTCTACATTTTTGACCATATACTTAGTATTTTTTAATCATCAAACGATTGAGTTGCATGAGTAAAGCTACATAGTAACTACTGGTCATAGTAACAAATCGATCCCATTAAGTCATATTTGTTGCAGAAACAGAAGCTACGTCGAATATTTGCTTTTTGGGCGAGATCTCAATAGTATTATATTTTGTACGTAACTGTTACATGAGCTCAACATAAGCTCATAGCCTTTAGCCAGTCGCAGAATACATAAGTTATATATTTTACAGTCATTTTAGGAATCTTTTTCACAATTTTTCAAGTATGTGAATATATTGAAGTTTCATTTCAAATTGCCGATTTAGTAATTCTACAGAGAGGCAACCATGAAATCGCGTTGCTATATAAAATGTTGCCCTGTTTTCTATAGCAATACAATGCACGTGTCTCTTTATGTTAGATGTTATGTTTTCTTTGTGTGCACGGTTGTTCTAACATAAAAATTACGGGAATTATGGGAAAAACACGAATTGCGGGGGAGAATAAAAAAAAACTTGAGCTGCCTAGGGATTAGGGGAACCTAGACCTACAAAGTTCAGTAATTCTAGCTCTTGTACCTTCTGAGATCCTTGCGCTCATACAGACAGACGGACATGGCTATATCGACTCGTCTTGTTATCCTGATCAAGAATATATATACTTTGTGGCGTCTGTCACGCCTCCTTCTGTGTGTTACATACATTCTCACATAACTAATATAGCCTTTTACCCTATAAAAATTGCTCAAAGGATGTCCTATAGAATTATTTGTGGACTTCATAAGTTCATAAGCTTAATAGGATTTATTGTAATAAAGTTTTTACAATTCTTTAAATATGAAAGGTCGAATATTTTATTTATGTAATCAGATGCATACCTAAACAATTTTCCACACCTTAACAAATATGTCTAATTGCATTATCCACGCACGACACATTTGTTAATATATAAGGCCGATGCAGTTTGAAGTTGCAATAAATAAGCAATAGCTGTGTAAAAATGAAGTTCTATTTTGTAAGTTGAAGAATTGTTTGCTTCGATTTTTAATACATTTCTATTCTATTTCATTGACAGTGTGGAATCGTGGCTACAATTTTGCTGCTGATGGGCCAGCAGAATATGGTGGAGGCAGGACCAAAGGTTTATCCCGGAGGACTTAGGTTACTACAAGATTAGGTTCCGTCACAATAGAAAAAAAAACCTCTACCGCAAGAGACATGGGTTTTTGAAAATAATTAAAAATGTATTTTCTTTTTAAATTACTTGTTAAAAGCATTAAAGGAAATTATATAAGAAAGAAAATGTTCACTCTTATTACAATGTTTGCTTGAAAAGTAAATCGAAAGCGAATGAAATGCGGCCAACAATTAGAAACATATTGTTTCCATCACATTTTAATCAGAAGAAAATCTTTTCGCTCCAATCACAACAAACATTGCCAAACAAGGAAAGTCATGGAATTTCCCAGCCTTGAGCGGGTGAGTGGGTGGGTGGTGGCAGCATATGCTATTAGACACAGCAATTTTAACGCCATAAAGTATGCCATGAAAAAGTTTTAAAAATAGACAACGAACACAGCGTGCCGCCGTCGCCTGTTTAGATTGGCGGGAGGAGGAGGAGGCAGAGGGATGGTTTTGGAGGCCGCATTAGTCATGGGGGATTCAAGCGTCGAAAATGCTGACAAAACTTTCTCGATTTAAGCAGAAAAGTACAAGCGACAACGACAACAACAATAGGTTCACGCACACAACTTTGATAATGCAGCAAAAGTATATATACATATATACGTGTGTGTGTGTAAGTGTGTGTCTGCAAAGGACATTAAACCCGAAACGGAGCCTACAGTAGCATAAACACTATTTAGATAGGCAGAGAGTTTGTTGAGCACGAGAGCATGCGCAGTTTTCTGCGAGAGAACGAGCTGCAAGGACCCCCAGCCTGTCTGTCCCTATAAAGAAACCTGCCTGCCGGCCGGCTTCTCCACATGGCCATGGCCGTGACAATGGCCCTGGCCGTGAAGTGGAAGCATTTTCCGAGTACGGCCTCGTGTGTGTGTGTGTGTGTGTGTGATGTCCTTGCACTTGCCCTTGCGTAGGCGCTTCGCCTCGACCCATACCTTTTATGTGTTTTTATGTTTTACGCAGAGAGCCCAAACACATTTGACATTCAGCTGCGTAAAATGTTAATAAACTGATGCTGCATACTCTTAGGCGTGCGTAAGCCACTCCCCCCATCCATCCATTCATGCAGCGGGACAAAAAAAAAACATGTTGTCGGGTGCTTTGACCTTGTCCTTGCGCATTATGCGCGCCTCCGTCGGGAGTTATTTGGCAAATGTGCGAGGCACGCAGACTTAAGCACGAGTCTGACGCGCTTATATTTTATTTAGGGGCAGCGCGCCAGCTTTTCGTCTATAAATATGCGTGAGAAAAAAAATTGTGCCTGTGTGTGTGTGTGTGTGTGTGCGTGTGTGGGTATTGGCGGTGGACTTAAAGAGGATTTTATGGCATTCCGTTTCTTGTTGTAGACACAATTTAATATAAAGGTGTCTGAACCTGAGGCCAATGTTAGACAATAAATAGCATTTGGCCAATAAAACCTGAGCCACTGCGTCTATATACGAGTATACTATGTATATAGTATTTGATATTTAAATTTAAAACAAACGTTCTTCAGCATCAAGTGCTTTGACTTTTTAGCATTCTTGATTGGCTGCACAGTTGTTGATGTTGATGGGACTGCGATGTTGTGGGATGCCATAGAAATTGATTGGTTTTCATTTCAGGTTCAAGGCGCATTCACTTGACAGTCAGTCTCAAGTAATGTTCGCACGAGTTGGCAAATACATAGATAAAGAAATTATAATTAAATTGCATTTTTAGAAATCAGCATTTAATTATAAGTAGAATAGAATACATATATTGAAATTTGTTCAAACTTTTCATAATCTAGATAAGTATAGGGAAAATATTAGCTTTGTGATCAACGAATTTCGTTTCATAACCAGTCCGATCTTAAACGCTTTTGCAAATGTTCTGCTTGCACGACTATGTTTACGCGTTATATATATTTTTTAAAGCATTTTCACTTATTAGTTAAGTTTGTAGGTGATATACTTGTAGCTGGCCTAACAGCGGGGCTAATCTGACCCGCACGGATCAGGCGTTTCTAAGTATTTCAACAGGTTTTGTTTGTTTTCAAAAAATAAAATAAAAATAAATAAAATGAAAATAAATAAAATAAAAATAAATAAAATAAAAATAAATAAAATAAAAATAAATAAAATAAAAATAAATAAAATAAAAATAAATAAAATAAAATTTTTAAAAATTATACTTTTCAAACATCTGCCTTTTTATTTCAAAGCATCGCCTATATTAAAAAAAAAAAAAAAAACATTCAAAATATTTTGCCTATTTTAATAATTTATTTGTTGTTCCTGCGCTTCCCAAATCCCAAGAAACTTGCTTGCGTTTGTGAAAAATTGTTTACGGTGTGAACGTGTCCCTAAATACCGATTTGTTTGCCCTTTTGGGTTGGCAGGTGTTTGCCTGGCTGGCTGCTGATTGCATGTATTTTGCATTTCGGGCGTCACCGGCCCATGTAAAACAATTGAACGAGGTCAGTGCCGCCTGCTCAGGCGAAGCGTGAAAGTGGCCAACAAAAGGAAAAAGAAATGAAAATATCGCCAGCAGTTGCAGCTGCCGCCGACATCGTTTATTAAAAAGTTTTCGCGCTTAATTGGCAACTTGGTAGACATTGATTTTGGCCGAAGTGCTCAAAAAGCGACAGCGCTAGAGTGGCGAAGAAAAATTTTGCACATCAAAATTTGTAAATTGAAAATGTCAGCTCAGCAGATAAGCCAAAAGCGCCCACAACTACAACTACAACTACAAGCACAACGGCAAAGCCAGCAACATACTACACATAAGTAGCTCATCTGTGTAGCCAATAATGGTGGGTAATAAAATAAGCTTAAAGCATTACGTTGATGGCCTTGGCAGTGGAACGTGGAACATGAAGAGACCTGCAGGCGAGTTGAGTTGCAGCAACGCGCAGCTGAGCATAATGGCATCTTCTTCAGTTGTCTTTCCATTTTGCTTTGGTCGTCGTCTCTTACACAGAAAAATTGGTAATTTCTTGCATCGATAGCGGCAGCAAAGCAGTGGCAGGCAGACAAAGAGTATGGGATTATTGGAGGAGCAGCAGCAGCTGCCGCATGTTGCACGATTGCAACGCATATAAATTGTCCATAAAAAGCATTTTGCAAACAGCAACTCAGCTCAAAGCTTTTCGCATTATTTTTAGATGCAATATTGGCCATAAGGAAGCCGATAACTGCATGGTTTAAACTAAGTTAAGGCGCCATGTTATTACACCGTAACAAACGAAAAAAAAAAGTAATTAGAACAACCCTTTCAACATTTCTTTAAGGGGTGTACAATATTTTTGACTTTTGAACTTTGTTTGAAAATTGTAATAAAAATATAAATTGTGTCTAACTTAATGAAAAGTTTTAAAATAAAATAACTGCCTAGAAAGTAAAGCTATGCTCAGACTAGCAAACAATTGGCAAGCAGGGGTGTACAATATTTTTGACTTTTGAACTTTGCAAATTGTAATAAAAATATAAATTGTGTCTAACTTAATGAAAAGTTTTAAAATAAAATAACTGCCTAGAAAGTAAAGCTATGCTCAGACTAGCAAACAATTTGCAAGCAGATTTGGCGAATTGGTAAAGTCATTACTATAAAGTAGTAGCAAAGAAAATTAATATAAATTCCACCTTCAAATATTTGTTTATGCACAACAAATATTTTCGAGAGCTCTCTTTTAAAAACTACTTGAAAAATAATATTAGTTTTTATGCAAATTATTTGCATAACTGACCACAACTTAAGTCTAATTTCTTACTATTTCCATAACAAATCAAATAAACATAAAAAAAACTTTTTAAAATTTTGTATTTAATCTTGGAATATTTTTTAACTGATTGCATTGAAATATCTTCGAATTTTTCCATTTGAATATGAAGATGTTTTAGAACTCTAATTTGAAACTTGTATACCTATTTGGCTTACAACTCTCGAAATACTCTTTCGCATCATTTCCATATTAAAAGCAGCTGCCCTGGTCTGCTCTGCTGCTTGCCATAAATTTATGACTCGGTGCGGTCACACATTTTGTGAATGGTGCGTTGTACCCGGAGTTTATGATAAATGATTGCCTGTAATTAAAGTGCTCCGACTGGACCAGTACTGTGCTGCGGTCTGAAAGCTCTACAGCAGCAGTCAAATGAGCAGGACACTTGTCCTTTTGGCTATGCCAAGAAAATTGCGTGCAACAGACGTGAGGAAGCACAGCCATAAAAGTTATCGGTTTTTGTTGCATTTGTAGTTGTTGCAGCTTTCGAATGACTGTGAAGTTAATAATGTGCAGACAAAGTCCAACGAAGCTCGGAAAACCACTGTAAATTGTTGTAATGTCTGGGCTGCATTTTGCATACCCCGTCGTTATGGCTGAAAATTTTCGCAATATCATGAAATAAAATGAAAAATTCTTGAAAATTATTGAATTTATTTAATAATAAATTTACGTTTTTCAACTCGAAGCGTACAACAACAAAGTTATTTCCATATTGCAGTTGCTGATTTTAATTTTAAACTTAAAAGAGTTGAAAGAATCGTTATACTAAGTATGTTTGGCGTTTTTACTTGGAATACAGACGTTCAGACTTACAAACAATTCACAAATTAAATCAACATGTTGAAAAAGATTTCTTTTTAAGAGCGGAGCTGTAACTGTATTCTCTATGATAATTTGTCAAATAGAACAATTGGACGAATTTTTATGACATGCTCTGGCGGCTCTATTTCCAATACTTTATGAAATACAGGCGTTCAGATGGACAAACATATCAGTAGTAGAAATTAGCGCGACATGTTATTACAACTAAATTTTGAATTGCGTTTGCTATGAAAACTTGATGTTGGGAAGGTACATAGTACAATTGGGCGAATCGGTTTAGAAATTTTTCCAATATTTTACGAAAGAAGGTTTTCAGACATTCAAAATAAAAATCCAATCTATAGAATAATATTTATTTCTAACAACAAAGTGGTAATTGTTATCGCAATATAGCTAAAAACTGGGCATTCAATTGTATTTTTAGAAGCCACATAACTTTTTATTAACATTTATTTGCAATAGGTTACGAAATACAGGCGTTCAAATGGACAAACAGACTGTTGGACATAATGCATTGTAAAATATGCCATGAAAAATGCAGTAGGACTAACATAATTATACTCTTT